TGTTCCAAAATAATATTCACTCCAGGGATACAAATTCAGGATGCGCAGAAGACTGCTGTTTGAATATAGGCGGTTGTCATGTATTGGATTGGTTATGAATTGATTCTGTATGCGCCAGGGATACAAATCCGAGTTGCGCAGTATATGAACTGGAACATTGAGATCAACAGTGCCGACGCAGAGTGAGCGAACTGATTCTTTAGCTATAAACTGTGACCAAGGCATAGTGAAATTTTTGTTCGACTGGCAGGCGCTCTTGCTCAAAGTGCGAATTTTTTGGAAATGTACTTTTTTTCAGTGCCAGTGTCATTTTGGAGGTTAGGATTTATTTAATATTTTTAAATATATTACCATCTTTGTCTCTATTATTAGTTAGAATGGAAAATTTTTAAAATAATAGAGATTTAATTTTTGGTTTGGCAACTATAAATATATCGTTAAAATTTTGTTATAAACCTGAAATGTCAAGTGCTAACTGTGCCAGTCGAATAAGGATAAAGATACGCTACACCATTGTCGAACTCTAGCTCGTGCTTGCTGTGTACACTGCTCGATATGAATTTGAATTATAAAAATGCTGCCCAAAATCAATTCAGAACTGAAAGCGCTTTGTCATCGAGCAAGATCATTTGAGTCGAATCCGCTATAAATAAGCCTCGGGAGAGTAGATGTTGATTAAAAAATTTAGCGAGGGGAAGAGAGGAAGGCCCTCTCTAGTAGTAATTTCTCAAAGTATCGGGGTTATGATCGACAAGTAATGTTAACAGACACGTTATTTGTAAACAGGTTGTAATTTCTATGTATTTATAAAATAACAGACCTGTTAAAAATAACATAGCTTGTCAATCATAACGCCTTATATTTTTGATAAAAAAAACTGACAATAACATTATTTATAAATATACAGTGCTTTTAATTAAAGTGTAACTTTCAAGTTCAACAGTCTTATCCTCAAAATAACGCACTAAGTTTTTCCACACATTCCTATCAAAAATCACAAAAATCATCACTTAAAAATCACGATTCGAAATTTCAATTTTTCATACAATGAACTAATCAACTTAGTTGAAATGAAACTGCTCGGTTTAAAATCCAACTGTGAACTGAATTATAGGTTAAATACGTAAAAATTTACCTAGAATTACAAAGAATTACTCGGTTCCGCAATTTACTTTGTTGTCAGCCAATTTTTTAACATCAAACAAATCGTTAATACACCACTGGATAACACACAACGCTATGGTCATGTATCGATCATTATAAACGCATTAGAGAAATTGTATAATTTCCTCCAACATTTCCAGCTTCGCATTAAAGAGTAGAATAGCCGATTTAATGGCTATTTAAAACCAGAGAAAGACCAAAGAGATTTGTAAGATAACGAAATTCGCGATTTGTAATTACGATATTATTCCAAAACCGTTACGTTTCTTTTTCTATTTTCCTGTCCTAGTTTTTTTAACGTTTTAAACAGCCAAACCCCTTAAGCCGACTTTATTGGAATGGTATTTATATTCAGCAATTTTCCTAACTACGTCTACTTAATTGCAACGGTCCCTTTATCCAGACATACATTGTGTTTAAATGGTATAGCTCCGTACAGATGATTATTACATTTCGTAGCCATGTTTCGTAATAACAGAACATGGAACTCCTTTATTGTAGTCTGGGTGTCAGTTTAGATCATGTTATTCGGATTGTATAATGCCGTAAAGCAACACCAGCATGTGCGGAAATTGATGGCTTATACCAATCTGGTTAGTGTATCTACATATAGATTTAGTTTACAGCAAGAGCATTTATGAGTTGGCTGAAATGATATATAATGAAAGCCTTAAGAATATTATTAGTACGCCATTTTTATTTTTGACATAATCGCAGCATATTATCAAGGGTAATATAATGAGACATTGATAAATAGTCGACTATTTTTAGTGTCTAAATTTTGAGTGTTTTTGGTATCAATTTGCGGAAACATAATTTGGTCATTAATAATCTGAATAGAATCTGAGAGCTTTAGCTTGAGGACTCTATTCTTTGAATATTAATGATAAAATTATGTCGAGACAAATTGCAAAATACACGAAAAATTTAGTATTAATAAAAATATTTATATTTTATAAGATTATTTCTAGAGCCCTAAATGTAACTTAAATTAATAAATACACAATAAAATAACTTTTATTTTCGGTTCATTTTGAAACGCCGCATGAGATATTATAGTCCAAGAGCCCACTGCAAATTTCGACCGTCATCTGATCACAAAATGAAATATGCTTCAGAGGCATGTAAAAATATTGTACTTTACCAAATAGCACCTGTGCTTATCACTATCCTGAGCAAAATAGTTAAAACAATGGCACTTCCGATGTCATAATTAGTGAGAAATATCGTCATTTGATAACGAGACAAGATCTATGCCATCGGATAGCTATTGGAATATCTGCATGTGCCACGTTTTAACCTGAGCTAAGTTGCTGGCACAGCATAATTTCTGAGACGCACCTCACCCAACTAATTTATTTTATATAAACAAAAAATCACATAAGCCATGACAACGAAAATTATTTGTATTGAAAATCCGAATAATTAATTGTAAATTTATTGCTGAAGCCTTGCTTTGTATCATAATTTTATAGGTTTCTTCACAGACTTAAAATAATAGGAGGAGATACTCATATCGCTAGAATATTTTATTTTTTTGTATGTTCACTGATAAATCTATACCACGTTGTCCGATTTCTATGATTCTTTTTTTGTTAGAAAAGGGGATACCGGGTTAGTCATGTATAAATTTGGTCAACATCTGATGATAGGATACACGAGAAAATAATTAAATTCTTCGAATAGCAAAGAAAGGTTTTTAAAATTACTTTTATTAATATACAGAATTATTATTTAACAGAATATATTTTCAGGTATTTATTTAGATTTATTTTATTACTTCTTATATTTATAAAAAAAGTGTAACTACAAATTGAAAATAGAATTCAATACGACGATGATATTCGGAAGTTTTCCAGAAAATGTATTAAAGGTATACTTACTAAGGATTGTTAAATTATTTATTTTTAAGTACTACATGAAAAAATTTAATTAAATAAATATGTATGCACAAACAATTTATCAATACTAAAATACATTATTATTAAAAAAAAAATCCCGATCGTACCAAAACCAATTACATCCAATCCTTTCCAACAATTTCAACATTTACTTATCATCTGAATCTGAAAAAAACATCATTGAAATCATTCAAATAATTTAACTCATTCAACTCGTCGTTATCGATATTATTTTTATTATATTTTAAGACATCATCGACTTTCAATGGTGTTGGGCCTCCCTTGAACCACACTGGTTCCAAACGTTCATTTAGCTTCAACATTTAATTTAGAACAATTTGCATCTGCAGTGTTTTGCCACCTTGAATTGACGTACACTGTACGCAAGATCTTTTGTTCCATAGTTCTCCAACATGGAAGAATAAGACTTGAATCCAACCCTTTAATTGTTTGCATAAAATGCTCGTTTTTGCTATTTTTTGGAGAAAACAGTTTTTCAAACAGTTGCAGCCTTGCGCTGTTAACACTGCAACAATTTTTCACACCGTACATTAGTGAAGTGCATTCCTCAATAAGGTCTGTCTTCTTTTTATCAGAAACATCATTTACATTATTTAAAGATGCAAATGCACACACTAATTAGTCATTTTTCTGCAACAACTTAAAGGGTGGTACTTTTCCTTGTCTATAAAACGTTGCAGTGTAGTCGCAGCCTATAAATGCGTGAAAAGCTGACAAGGCACGGCAGATATTTGGACTCAGAGAAGTTGCGACATCATTTATACTATAGCACTTAAAATCTTCTTTGTGCGCAAAGGAAGTTACTAGGTAAATGTCCATATCAGGAAATGTATGGATGTTACCTAGTAAAATAATTGGAACGTCGGTATCAGAGACGGTTACTAATATTGTCGAATTTTGATTGATTTTATTCATATGAAAAAGTATAAGAGTGTCAGCTTCTTCGTGCTGACATTCAAAATCTCCCTCCTCCTTTTTGAAAATTCTTCCATTAACAGAACGGTAAGAGTAGCACCGTTCTTGTACAGTAATGAAAACTGTTTTGTTTTGAATAAACGACGTCATAGAATAATCTTCCCAGTACTGTACAAAAAATTCAACAAGTGCCTCTTTAAACCTAAAATTTTTGAGGCTTTTATTAAAATCAAGTTGTCTTTTTCGTAAAGGTCCAACAATTGAAAATGGAATGTCGACCTCCTGTCGATTGTGCCTTTCTGCATCTTTAATCGATGGGGACAAATATCTGTCAAAAACTAAATGTATTTCCAATGCATCTTTACCACAAATCTTTCGCAATACATGTTCAGATATTTTTCCAAAAGTTTGCGGAAACGATGGACCCAAAACGTTTAGGAAATAAAAACCGTCAATGATTTCAATATGATTTTTAGGGGGTATGGCTTGCTTGCCCTCCGAACTTTTTTGAACTTTTTTAATGCAATCTGAAGCAAAATTCAAAATAGTATTTCTTTTAATTGGTTTTTCAAAGCGATCAGGCGAACTTGCATATTCTTCCAAAAATTGCAACTTCTGTTGGTGATCCATCGTGTTTGCATTGGTCAAAAAATCGCAAACTTTGGGAGAAACTGCTTTTCCTGTTACATTATTAAACAAACAATCTCTATTAACGCTTTGATCAAATGGATTCATATTTTGTTCTAACATTGTTCGAATTGTATTCAGCGCTTTCGTGTCATCTTTCTGAGACTTCCCATCTTCTCAAGCAGATGAGAAATTACCTTCTTAAAGTATGACCCATCGCTGTCTAGCTGTAATTGAATTCATAAAATGAGTTATCCCAGTCAAAGAATTGGCCGCTTCAACATTTACTGTTTGTTCTAAAGTAAGATCCACTGGAGATCTAGCTAATGATTTCCCCGTTCGTTTAACCCCAAAAGCACCACGTTTAAATTCATCCAAGAGAGGCGAATTGTCCACTTTTAAAGAAACCAGATTAATCAAGTACTTTGGAGATCAACGTGCATAGTTGGGTTGGTTGAATACAAAAACATGTTAGTCATTTCAAAAACTGTAAATAGAATTGCGCCGTTTTTTCGTGATATCCTAGAGTTAGTGAACAGAAATCTTTATATTTCCTAATAAGTTCTTCTGAAACAGAAGATAATATTAACGGTTCATGAGATAAAACAGGAAGATCAAAAACAACTTTTCGATCAGAAATGAAACTATCCTGAGAAAAATCACTTTCTGACATAAATAAATCAAAATGCGACATCTAAAGAGCACCTGCAAGAATAGGGTGAATTCTTTTACACCTATTGAAGTGTTTAGACTCCGTTTACAGAACCTGCTGCTAAAACCTCGGATTCTGTTAAAATATCTACGATTCCGCAACTATCAATAAATTTACCAACAGCTTTGAAAAACGCTAATTGCATACTAAAGCCTCCTAACTTGATAAATAAACCATCAAATTTTGGACTTTCCAGGCTTTGAAGTGTCGTAATAAACTTTTCATTATATATAAACGCAGAGGATTGTTTTCAATAGATTCATTAACTTATACTACTTTGATCATTTACAAAATAAATCAAAGATTTGTAGGAGTAGCTACACACAGATTGATAAAGAAAAACGAAGAAAAGGAAGGTCTTTTCAAGTGTGAAAATATTATTAGTATTCGCCGAAAGCTTGCATTATAATTGTAAAAAAGAACAAATTATTATCAATCATTCCATTCTTGTTTACATTTATAATATACGGACGATGTCTTAGCAACCGAAATGCTAATTCTAATAAAATGTACACACATACACATTTAAAAAATTAAAAATTCCTTCATTCGTTTCTTTTCTTTATCTACAAAATAATATAAAAGCTTATAACAGCAATTACTATCATCTTTATTATTTTATATCTGCATCGTCCACTTCTATATATCTAAATTAAAATTTGACAAGTACATCATTCATATCTAAGATCAACAATAACTAGACTAGATAATAACTAGACCTCAAAAAAGATGAAAAAAACATTACTTCAAATTAACTTTAATAAATATTATTGCAAAATTATTAGAGTTATAAATAAAATACAATTATATTTGTTTGTAAATATAATATATGTCATGCTCCCTCAACATTAGTATTAGATTGTCAAATGATTGACAATCATCTGATGCCAGATCTTGAAGTTGGATACATTTTGATGTTAAAATATACTATATCTAGCTCTTATAATGGGTACCTCACCTTCTAACGACCTCTGGTGGATTTTTTGAACTACGTTGTGTTTGGTGCCATATCGTATTTTGTTTTTATGAGATTTTTGGGAAAGCTGTAATTATTTTTCATCGTGATCGCGCCATTTTTTTTTTCGGCAAACCTTCCCACTGATATTTAGACACTAGAGTGCATCACACATCGTCTATTAGCGTTAGTTTACTGTCAGTTTCGGCACCAATCATAACCTAAAATTTTTAACGTTTCAAAGCTCCGCAAAATCTTATTGTCACCAAGTCGCCAATTAATAAATACTGACAAGTACATAATTAATCTAATATATAGCTTTAGTCCTAATAAATGTACACATGAAAATAAAATTATAACAATAAAAAATCAAATTATGAAATAGTTTGTTTACATTTGCATTTTTTCGGCAAAACTGGGGATACTTTGCGCCATTCATATGGTGCAGAGTATCTCCACTTTTTGCGCCAGTTATACAGGGTGGCTCACGCTCAACGGGACGGAGCTTTATGGGAAAACGACCAAAGATATAAAAAATTCGTTTGGGAGGAATACGTAGGTTACAGACGGCTACAATTTAAAATTTGTTAGATGTATACAGGATGTCCCACATAAGAAAAAAAAATTAGTTCATTAAAAATTATTCAAACAAGAGTAAACAATTAATTTCTGGGAGACTTTTTTTTCCTTAAAAATTCAAATAAATCGAAAACTAATAATAATAGTAATAGGGAACCTTTAGTTAACTGACATTATTTTTGATAGTTTTTAATTCTAAAATAAAAAACAGGGTGTTCCATTAAAAATAATATAACTTTGTATATTTTCTCTTATGTGGGACATCCTGTATACATCTAACAAATTTTAAATTGTAGCCGTCTGTAACCTACGTATTCCTCCCAAACGAAGTTTTTATATCTTTGGTCGTTTTCCTATAAAGCTCCGTCCCGTTGAGCGTGAGCCACCCTGTATAATGCAAAGTAACTACATTTTTTACTTTGATAAAGGGCCTTACTTTGTATTTTCTTCTCTTTTTAGGGAATGTCGCGGCAGTCTTAGATAATATAATAGCAGATAGGCCACCACTGCATAAAGTTATACAATGTTAATGTCGCTATCATATAATCAGTTTCTCTCTTTCTAATGAAGGCTTTCTCACTCGTTTTTGAATTCACAGCAGTAGCGTACCGTGAAACAATTTCGCTGGGTCATTCTAAATGCGAAAACGTTGACCAAGTAGAATAAATAAAATGTTTTAAAAGGTAGGTAGGTAGGTAGGTGCATTTTTAATGAAGTGAAAACAAAATATGACTTTTTTGTCATGAATATAATATTAATAATAAAAATATTACTTTATTGAACATTTATTTATATTTACAATGAGGATTTGAGATTTTAAGAAGTATCTATATCTATACTTATTAAAACCTGAGCAATGGTAAAACTGAAGAAATAATAGTTTTTATTTTGAACATGAAAACAAAATATACCTAATAAAAAAACAAACCAATATGTAATTATATTTGCATATTTTACATAAAAAAGTATTTAGATTAAACCTCGTTTAAAATATAAATTATCTAGTTTTATCATAAAAATTAAATAAATATTTTTATTGTTTTATTGCTGATGATAGTTTATATTTTAGACCATGTACAAATATACAGTGACTTCCATAAACGGAACAACATAATAGGGGATCCTAAAAAACAGTACACAATGACATAATAAAAAAATATTTCTTCGTTGAATATTTAAACTTACAGTGAGGATTTGAGATTTTACAAAGTATCTATACCTTTACTTATTGAAACCTATACAATGGTAAAACTGCAGAAATACATAATAGTTTTTAATTTGAACATGAAAACAAAATATACCTAATAAAAAAATAAAATAATAAACAACAACAACTAGCGTCTTATTTGGAAAGTTTATTTAACAATATAAACAGAACTTTTATAAACAAAATTTGCTTTTTTTTCGTAAGATGAAGTCGATTTAAGAGACCAAAATAATTTGTGTCCATTTTATGTCTCCTTTTTAGAAAATCTTCACATTGACGTTTCACATAAATCATTGATGATACGATACTCTGGTAATTAATTTAATGTATTTAGATACAACCTTTTTTGACAAACTTTACATTGATGTTTGGCATAAATCAGTGCAGTGTTCGTTGAAAGTAATACAAAACGAATATGGTAAATGAGTTGACTGAATTTAAACTAGTTATTGATTCTGAAAAGTTATTAATTTTGTCAATCTCGATCTTAATCTATTTACATCTAACATAAATCTATTCTGTTTCGTTATTTCATAATGTATCCTTAAGTTAATGTAAGTGCTTAATATTAATTTTGTTAATGATGTAGAATGAGTTTTATCTGCTTCATCATCAAAAATGTGTTCATTAAATACATTAAATGAATCTGTATTAACACTTTCCAATGATTGTAATGTAAGATATTCTAATAGATTTTTGTTTTTTCTTTTGAGAATATTATGTGATTTCTGAGACCAACGCAGAGTTTTTTCAGCTATTGTGCAAATATCTATGACATATTTTGATGATGATGTCAGGTTGCCATAAGTTTTTCTAATTTGTAGCTTGAAACTCGAAAAATCATTTTTTAAAATTCCAAAACATTTTTCACAATTTATTTTCCCTTCAAGTTTTTTCACTACAAATCCAGCAATGTAACCAATAACATCACTGCAGTACTCTGTAAGATGCCAGCTTTTTGGACTCACTGCATAATCGTGCTCATATAGATTCAAAAATTGACATAGTTGATCTGACGGTGTCATAGATGAAGTTTCTACTGAAAGCATGGGTGTGTTCTCATCAAGTACACTTATGTTTCCAGTTAATGAACCTTTAATGTCAGTGTGAATCAAAAGTCTTTTAAAAGCCGATTCAAATTGTCGAGCAGAAGGATTATTGTTAAATCCGCCCCTACTTCTTATAGCACTAAAAAAAATTTCCAAATGATCTTGGGATAATTTGTAACTGAGCAGAAATTCTAATACGGGGTTTTCACAATCAATTAAATATTCATAAAATTGAATGTAACTTTTTATATTAATCATAAACCCCAAAAACCCTGTTTTAGATTGAGATTCTATTATTTTCTGCTCATTTGGTAAATTTAATTGAGCAATATATTCAAAACAACTTTCAAGATAGGATTTTATTAGGTTGATAGTACCTTTTGAAAGAGGTTTTCTATATTGGGATTTAGAATTTAAGTTTCTACAATTGAAAATATCGAATAAATTATTGAACAATAAACAAAAATTTGCTGTGCACTCTACGTCTCTAAATTCGGGAAATTTCAAATCTTGTGATAAAAAAGAAAAGCATCTCTAACACTACGACTAAATGTTTGTGCAGCTAATTTTACCTTCATCTTTTCTTTTTGCCAATTTATATGTCTT